GGGAGCTTAATTAACCAGGAGAAGGGAAGATGCCCTGCCTTTACATCACCACCAACGTCAACTTGGATGGAGTAGATACCGATCCCATCTTCTGCGAAACCACGACAGCCGTCGCTTCCATTATCGGAAAACCTCAACATGTAAACACCCATTCTCCTCTCTTTGTTTCAATTTAAAAGGGAAAGCATGTGTTACTTATCTCTTACAATCCGTGTGGTTTATTTTTCTTTCTTCTTTTTTATTATTGATTCAAAATTTGCATAGATTAGGAGATGTATGAAAATATATAGAATTCTATATGGTACTTGGAAGAACTATATGGTTCTGTGTGGTGGATATGGATAAGATCATCACCCCATTTAACAGTCTTCTAGATACAGCATACCCAATAACAACGAAAAAAAATCATCCAAGTGCAGTGTACTAATTGCACTGCTGGTCCCAACAAGAATACCACCACCACAAATCCAGCCAGAGGGTTATTTTCGACCAATCTTGTCAAATGATAAATTCCACAAAACCCGCCAATTTTGCTTTAGAAGTGGAAACGACCCCCATTTATTTGTTCAAGCCTTCTCTGTTAGTGAACTTAGAAAAATTGAAAGAAATTAATTCTACAGTACCATGGGTAACCTCAAAATGGTGAATCACAAATTCTAATAAGAAAATGACATAATTACAAATGCTAATACGTCTTTAAGGCAAAAACACTTCTTAAGCCCTTAAACTTACCCCAAAATAGTATTTAAACCCTTGAACTAAAAATAAAGCAGATAAACCCTCCAACTTCATTAATGATGCAAATAAGCCCTTCTCATTCATGGGTTTTTATGCTTGCAATGTGATATTAAACATGAAATACCACTTGACCCATTTGTGAGAAGGGTTTATTTGCAATAATAATAGAATTGGAGGACTTATCTGCTTTATTTTTAGTTTAGAGACTTAAATGCTATTTTGGGATAAATTTGAGAGTTTAAGAAAAGTTTTTGCTTGTCTTTAATAAGATGTGATGGAGCGAAATTCTTTAGATGATTTAAAATATCTTTAAAGTGAATTTAAAATAATATATAAAAATATTTGTAACAGGATAGAATTTCTCAATTGATATTTTGAAAATTTCTTTATGGTACTAATTTTATTATTTCCCTTTGTTTTCCATGCCAAGTAGTTTGTAATGGTGATACTAAAAGGATCTGTGCCAATATTTTTCAATGGGAATAAAGAGGCAGCTGCATATGCTGAGATTGTATCAATGGGAGGGATTAACACAGAGGTCAAAAGGAAGTTGATTGCCACACTCGGTACCATATTGGAAAACAAGCTCTCAATCCCCAAGACCAGATTTTTCCTCAAAGTCTTTGACACTACAGCAGGAAGAACTATCTCCAAGATTTAATGAAGACTTAGAGAAGAGGTCCGAGATTTCAAATGTATCGTCTCTATGTAGCTTCCAAGTTTATTAAAAAAAAAAAAAAAACAGCAAATAATATCAAGATTTCTACTTCCTGATGGCAGATAATTGAAGTGATCAATAATTTGAGGATTAATAAGATCAGATCTCAAAATATTTTTTATTTGTTAGTTAGTCTACATCATATGTGTCATGTGTGATATTTTTTAATACCGACTTTTTTATAAAGTAAATAAAAAGCTATGTTGGGAATATGATGCCATGCATCAGCCTGTTGACTTTAAGATATTATTATATTGATGTAAGTAATAGCATGCGTAAGGATCTTTAAGGGTTGCCTTAATGGACTCTTAATCGAAAAGAAAGGATCTTGAAAATCTTCTATTGAACTCTTCA